TCACGCTCACCCCGACGCACAAGCTGCCCGCCGGCCCGGCAAAGGCGCTCAAGCAGGCGTCCGAGGTTGCCGTCGGAGAGACGATTTGGCTCGCGTCGCCGGCCGCGGGCACGCTCGTGCAGGGGCGTCCATACCCCCACACCAAAAAAACACACACCTGCCTCTCCGGATGGGAGCCCCCCCCCCCCCCTCCTGCCAGGCGCCCGTCCTCAAGATAACCAAGGTCGTGGCCGACGGGCTGCACAGCCCGCTCACCAAGCACGGCGGTTGGCCGGTCGTCGACGGCGTCGCGACCTCGTACAACAGCGCGGCTGTCGTCGCGCGCAACAAGTACCTCGTCCCGCTCGTGGAGGCGGTCTGCCCCTGTCTCGGCCGCCTCGTCGTGGCGGCCGTGAACCCCAAGCCGATGCACTACATCGATGGCGAGGTGAGCCCTCTCCCGCCGTCCCAAGCTGTATCTCACTTGTCCCCACTCCTCCCCAGCCCCCGTCGACCACTTTCGCTTCGTCGCTCGACCAAAGGTGGTCGAGCCAATCTCGTCGCTCGAGGTCGCCGCTGCCGTGGCCGTCACGGGCGCCGCCACTCTTGGCGTGCGCAAGATCACGGCGCGCAAGTAATGTGCGAAGCGGCGATCCAGCTCGGATCGCGCGGTTACGTGTTCACGCTTGCGGGCGTGCGGTGCCGACGGAGCGGCGCCCCGCATGTGGTGAAGCCTCTGGGGGGGCTGCTCTTTGGCACATGCGGGGCAGCCCCCCCAGAGGCTTCACCACATGCGGGGCGCCGCTCCGTCGGCACCGCACGCCCGCAAGCGTGAACACGTAACCGCGCGATCCGAGCTGGATCGCCGCTTCGCACATTACTTGCGCGCCGTGATCTTGCGCACGCCAAGAGTGGCGGCGCCCGTGACGGCCAAGGCAGCGGCGACCTCGAGGGAAAGATTGGCTCGACCACCTTTGGTCGAGCGACGAGGCGAACGTGGGCGACGGGGTGGGGAGGAGTGGGGACAAGTGAGATATACAGCTTGGGACGGCGGGAGAGGGCTCACCTCGCCATCGATGTAGTGCATCGGCTTGGGGTTCACGGCCGCCACGACGAGGCGGCCGAGGGAGGGGCAGACCGCCTCCACGAGCGGGACGAGGTACTTGTTGCGCGCGACGACAGCCGCGCTGTTGTACGAGGTCGCGACGCCGTCGACGACCGGCCAGCCGCCGTGCTTGGTGAGCGGGCTGTGCAGCCCGTCGGCCACGACCTTGGTTATCTTGAGGACGGGCCCCTGGTAGGAGGGGAAGGCAGAGGGGGGGGGGGGGGGGGCTCGCACCGAGAGAGGCAGGGGTGTGTGTGTGGTGCTGGGGGTATAGACGCGCCTGCACGAGCGCGCCCGCGGCCGGCGACGCGAGCCAGATCGTCTCTCCGATGGCAACCTCGGACGCCTGCTTGAGCGCCTTTGCCGGGCCGGCGGGCAGTTTGTGCGTCGGGGTGAGCGTGACCGTCGCCGTCGCGGTGGCGAGCGAGAGGAAGGCCGCCTTGGCGGACGGGTCGGCCAGCGAGAAGGAGGAGACGACGTCGAAGCCGAGGGTGCCTAGTAGAAGTAAGCGACTGTGAAACAGATGAAAACGCTCTCACGCCATCGAAAGCGAGGGTGCCGTCGGCCGCCGCAGCGAGGATCGAGTCGCCGGCGGAGAGGGAGGAGAGGGGGGCGGTAGCGCCGTCGGCGCGCTGGACCGTCGCAGAGCTCGGGAAGCACGGCGGGTCCGAGGCGGACGGCGGCGGCGGCGACGGTGAGGCGGAGGGAGGCGGCGGCGAGGGTGAGGCCGACGGCGGTGGTGGCGACGGCGAGGCGGACGGCGGTGGTGGCGACGGCGAGGTGGAGGGCGGCGGCGGCGACGGCGAGGCGGACGGCGGCGGCGACGGCGGTTGGGGTGGCGGCGGCGACGGGGGCGAGGGCGGCGGCGGCGAGGGAAACAAACATTGCCATTGCCATTCCAACACGTTGAAGCACGTGGTCCGCGGGCACACGCCGACGCACGTGGTCCCCACCTCGCAACACAGCTCACTCAGGCCGGTGCAATTCACGCCCTCGGCGATGTAGTCAGTGCAGCTGTTGGGATCTGTCGAGTACGTGATGTCGTGGACCGCGCTAGCGGCTGGCGCCCCGACGAGCAAGCGCTTGCCCTGCGGAGGAGAGGCATAGGGAGGACAGGCACACACAGTCAGCGTAAGCGTGGAGGGGGGGGGAAGGTGGCGTGCGGTGGTCTGCAACACCGCGCACCGACATGGCTGCGACCGCCGCGCCGTACTCTGACGCAGCTCCGTTGGGACCGGGCCACACTGTCCAATCCTTGACATCGACCGCACCGCCGCCGTTGCCGAGGAGCAAAATGTATACCGCGCCGTCGGACTCTGAATTTCCGGATCCGACACTGCCCCCGCTGCCCTCGGCACCAACAGCCAGCTCGGGCATGCCTGCGCGGGGGGGCGAGGGAGCCGTCTCGGTAGAGGAGGGCAGAGCTGAGGAGGGCAGAGGAGGGCACGAGAGGCAGAGGCGGGCAGAGGAGGGCAGAGGAGGGCAGAGGCGGGCAGAGGCGGGCAGAGGAGGGCAAAATGCAGCGATGGGCGGGAGGGCGTGCCATCTCCGTCCATGTCGTCGAGCATCGCGAGCGAGTACCCAAACTTGTCTTTGGGCTGCAGGGCGGCGCTGACTCCTGCGCCGACAGAGAACAGTGCGGCGGTTGGCGGCGGCGGTAGGTGGGCGGTTGGGTGGGTGTGGTGTTGCTGCAGAGTGGGGGCGTGGAGGGGCGCTGCGGAGTGAGAGCGGCTCACCGAGGTCGAGGCTGCCGCTGACGGTGCCGTCGGCCTCGAGGAAAAGGATCCAGGCGTCGCCGGAACGATCGGAGTTCATGCTCCCTCCGACAGCCAGCTCTGCAGTGCCGTCCCCGTTCAAGTCGGTCAAGGCGGCGAGGGAGGTGGCGAACACGCCGCCAGTAGGGATGGTCTCGATGCCCTTGCCCGACTCGATGCGCCGGTGCGAGGTGACGTTGACGGATGCTGGCCAGCCGCCTGCAAGGAGGGGGAGGCGGTGAGCAACTAACAAACAGAGGAGAAAGCGTGGAGGCAGTTGGCACGGCAGCTGCACGCCGGTGTCCATAAAAAGGAGGAAGACGGTGCCCTGAATGCCGGTCATCCCCGTGCTAGGGATGTCATCGTAGAAGTCTGTGCCCGCGCCCACCGCGAGCGCAAGCCCGGTGCCGCCTTGGCTGTGAAAGCCCGGCAGAGCTGCGATGGCCTGCCCAAAGTGCTGGTACGTGTCCAGGCCGGCTGACGACGGGTTGAAGCTCCCCTGCATGGGCTCAATGACGACCCACGACAGCAGGCATGCGGCCGGATCCGCCTGGCAGTCGGCCTCGGAGGCAAGCCGGAGCAGGTAGACGGCGCCTGCGAGAGCGGCCGGGTGCGCGGCAGGTGTGAGCGGCAGGTGTGAGCGGCTGGGCGTGATGGCGACCGTGCCTGCTTTCGCAGGGCTCGCATCCAGCCCGCAAACCAACAGTTCGCAACCTGGAGCACCGACGGCGAGCGTCACACCGCCCAGATCCGGCACCGTTGCGACGGCCGAGCCAAACAAGGTGTAGTTAGCGAGTGGAAGCTGGTTATCGCCGATGGTGACCTCGACGCATGCCGCACACTCGAGGTTGAGAAGCGTGACTGCTCCGCGCCGAATTCCATTTCCTGGAAGCTGGTTATCGCCCACGGCGACCCAGCCAGTGGTGCTGTTGA